CGGGCCGGGCCGTCTGCGCTTGGCGGAGGCCGCTGCCGCCGTGCCGGGACGGGCGGCCGTTAACCGCCGCCCTTTCCCTCAGGTGCCGGCATGAGCAGCGGCGCCCGGACCCGCGGCAGCAGCAGCGGGGGGAGGAGGGGGAGGGGCGCGGCCCGCCTCAGCCCGCCGGCCTCCGCCAGCTCCGAGGGCGAGGAGCCCCTCAGTCCCTCTGGCTGCTCCCCGCTCTCCCCCCCGTCCCGCCCCGGCTCCCTGAGCGGCGAGGAGGAGGAGGAGGAGCGGGCGGCGGCCTGCCGGAGCCGTCGAGGCGATAGGTAACCCCTGCGTCTGGGCCCAGGTTGGAGCGGGGAGCTGGGGGCCGCCCCCCGCCTGAGGAGCCGGGCTCTCCAACTCGGCTCCCTCCGCTTGAGGCCTTGGTTGGGGACGGAAGGTTGTTTCACAGAAGTGTGGGCTTGTTCGCGGAGATAAGAGCTTTAGGCACCTCGGTCCCTTTTTGGGAAGTGGCAGGTTACGGCAGCCTTTTCTGTGGGCAGTTGAGCGTCGTCGTGGGTTTGTAAAATATCTGTGAGCTGTTGAACTGAGCCTCGGGGTCTTTGCGAGTTAAAAGAGGTACAGCCGTTCCTGTCATCCTTTTAAATGATCTTGGAGACTAAAGGGCTATTTTGTCTAGTGTACGTAGCCATATCCAGAGTCAGTTTCATGCGTATGCATTGCACAGTTCTTGTTCCTGTGGCTTAACTTCATTCCCTTTTAATTGTACGCAAACTTAATATGTCTTCTTTCCCTCGGGATCTCCTCTGCCTGACAGGAAAATAAATAGTACTTATTCCTCCCTTTAAAATAGAAGGGGGAGGAGCAGGGAGTGCCTGGAATACAACCTTCGCAATGGAAACTTCGCAGATCTGTGCGGTAACTGATGGTGGATGTAACTAGCGAGACTGAGCTGAGCTAAAAGTGCCAGTGGGGTAAGGGGAGGATAGCCGAGCTTCACGGGAGTGCAGGGTCCCGGTGTGGTTCTCGGGCTCTCATGGAGAGCAGTGCGCACCTCCCAGATGGACTGAAAGCGTATGGGGCCACGCTGAACTCTTCTTACAAGCGTTTCTTGAAAAAGGTGCTAAAAGTCCAGGGAAAGTGCTCAAATGTAGCCAGAAATAGAAGCTTCAGAATGAAAAGGATATTGGCCTGTTTACGGTCCCTCCTGTTTCCAGTTTTCTGTTACCTGTCCTTTCACTCCTTCCCAATAAGCAGTTTTGTTCACGTACCTTGAAGTTCTGTAGCGCTTGGTTCAAACTGCTGCGTGTCTTTGCAGCTTGAGATGCTGCTTGAAACAGCTGTCAATTTTCGGGCCTGTTGCTGCAGTTATTTCCTGGTGGTGGTAAGATGGAACTGAAGATGACCTCTGTTAGGGCCTGACTTGGAACAATCTCATGAAACTCTGCGAGCACAACATATACTTCACTCGTGCAGACACTGCAACTGAGTAATAGTGCTGCTGTGTTGTAATAAGTGTCTACCAAATGTTCATATAGCAGCTTCCGTGTATAACTGCCAAGATGTCAGAAGTATAATAATAAGAAACACTTCTTTTTACACAGCCACTACCCTCAACGTATACACACGCTCTCTCAAAGAGTCTTTTTGTTGTTGTTGTCCTCTTAAAACTACACAAAATTAGCGTGAGGCAGACATTTAATGTGGGAAATGCAATATTTGCAAAAGAGAAAGGCTGAAAGCAAGGCCTTGTGAAATGGTATTAGGTGTTTTCATACTTTCATTATGGATCAGTGTTACGTTTGATGGCGTGACTTAAGTGACTATATGGTAAATGATAATCACAGTGTTTTCTATTAATCAGACTTCAGTTCTAATGCCAAATACATCTAATTTGATTTAAGATACTTATTTAAAAAATAAATGCACTTGAGAATGTGGTACTTTAAGAAGTCTGTTATTTTAATTATTCAGAGCAAGGTCATAGATGTGAACATGCTAGCATTTCAGAAAATGGTCCCATGATATTCAAGGTCTCTGTGGCTCAAAATATGTAATTGGTGTGCCAGGGAGAGTGTGATGGTGGCTGGGATGCACACTGAGAAGGATTGGATTCCAGTCTGTGCTCTGGTGCAACCTGAGAGCTTTAGACAGTACTGCAGAACGAGAGAAATGTTTCTCCGAACAGTTCTTCGTATTGAGCTTGTGTTTTACTCTGTTTAAACTTTATTTTCTGTTCTTTCTTACTTGTATACAGTAAGTTTTTAATTCATTACTGTGAATTATTTTTTTGAGCAGTTAACAGCGTGAACTTTATAATTACTCATACAAGAAAACACATGGTAAATATTACTTAATTCAGTCCTTCTACTAGTACTTTTTCTTAGGTTGGTCTAATATGTCAGCATTATTCTAGTTCAAGGTGCCATAATGCAAATCATGCACAGCAAAAGAATGTGTTGAGGAAGTATCCCTGCCCAAAATGTCAAGTCTGGACAAAGTTGCGTTGGTTTCCTGAATTTGAATGCATAATACTTTTATCCTTATCTTTAATAAACTTTCAGAGAGTTATTTTCTAACAAAATATGTTATTATGCATTCTTAAGTTGCATCCCTTATTATGTGTACCTGTTCAAAAACAGTCTCTCTTAAATTTTTGGTCTTTGTTAACACTGTAGCATAAAAGGCCTAAGGTGCAGCAGAATGCGTTGGACAACACTGGGCTTGGGAGCGCTTGGCCTGTGCTGCTTCTGTCCGTGCATTGTCAGGGTGTCCTGTCAGTTCTGTTGTGCTACATCTCTGTGGCAGCACAGTATGAGGCGGGTTGGGGGCTGATTGTGTGTGGGGAAAACAACCCTTTTCCAGGTTAGTTTCAGCGTGAATCAGTTCCCCTGGACATGTCCTGGCTTGACCAGCGAATGATCATGTTAGTGCACACACATGCGGGTAACAAGAATGGAGAAGAGTAGGACAAAACTCATTGGCACTGACGTTGTCCTCAAATGCTTTGTATCACAGAAATATATTCTAAAGATTACCGGGATGTAAAATGTTCTCCAACAGAGTATTGCTGTTCCTTGTGAATATGTAATACTTTTATATTGATAAAAAACAGGTATCTTATGCTTAAAAGATTTATTTCAGGAGCATTAACATAATATGCTTGTTGGGATGCCTCTTCTGTAACTTGAATTCAGCAGAGTTACTCACTGTAGCCAGTTATGTATGTAGGTATTTCCAGAGCCCATGTGTCCATATAAAATACGAAACTGAAGTTTCGTTTCACTGTTTTGTTGTTTAAGAAAGAATTCTGTATAAGATAGAAGAAATCTTATAAAGAAATCTATTGGCATGTTTTCAATTTTTATTGACTTAGAGCCTAATATACTGTCTTACTTATGAGATAGTACACGTATAGAATATTATAAAAGATATTTCTGGCCTGGGGCTAGGATTGCTGCATTATTCATGAGTAAAGAAGTTATGAGTGGAGTTATGCAAGGTACTCTATTAAAAGTCTAATAGAACCTTGTATAATATTATCAAGTATTGTATGCAAGCCATATTTCTTAAGTATGTTTCCTGTGAAAGCTTTTTAGAGTGGAAAACTTTACCTGTTAGAGTGAATGGATTCTTAATGCTGAGATTGCTTGATATCATGAATCCAATTCTATAGGACTTAAAAGAAGAAAAAATAGTCTTGATTATTCTTTGCTCGTGCTAAAGGCCAGTTGATACATGGAGCCTTTTGGTGACCAAGGACAGGATGTTAATATTAAATCTCTGATTTCCTTTGGTTTCCATATGTGAGAAGGAAGATGGCACTTTGATGTTTCTGGTGTTAGTTTTTGTTTAGTTCATAAAAGGTAATGTTTGAATCTGTTCCACAGTGGGGGGGGGGGGGGGGGGGGGGAATCACTAAAAAGCTAGAATTCAATAAGTAGAATGTAAGGGGGATGGTCAGAGGTGCGTTATAAATGCAAGTTATCCATTCTGGAGATTCCTAAGCAAGTAGAAAAATGATGTCATCGTTGTCACAATATGCCATAATAGAAATGTAATTTTAAGGCAGTAGCACTGCTTAACTTTTCAGCCAACTATATTGCAGATAATATTCTTTTACATTTCTTGTTTTTAATTCAGGAAGGTTGAAGACTCTGAAAGAGCAGGGGAAGAAAAAGAGTCACCTTTGAAAGATAATCTTTCACCATGGGAAGAATGGTTCATTGGCAAAGAGAAGGAACTACGTGCCCGCTTACAAGCTAGAGCTGTAGAGGTGAATACATCCAATTGGCTTGATGTGAAGTCTAATAGAAGATAGCAAGCATGGGAATTTTTTTTTTTTTTTGGTTGTGGAAACACAAGTAGTTTTGTCCATTATTTTTTAGTGTCTTGGGCCGCCATAGTGCTTGTGTTTGATAATGCTGACATGATTCATGCTATATGCATTCTCTTTTGCTAAATGTTATGCTTCATTGAAGTGGTGCTGTATAATATTTTGCTTATCCAACTGTCAGGTGATGGTTCAAGTTTAAAGGATTAAAACTTATTTATATAATTGGTACCTTGATTTTCATCATGGGTACGTACGCCTGCATGTAGGTAGTAAAACACGACAGGGCGTGTACTGGGTATAAGTATGCCAAACTACTTGGTTAGATATGAGGCACCGTGTTGTTACACACTTAGTGTGTAATTATACAACTGTTTGGTGTCCTTTCCCAGGATAGGTTTCCCTGTCCCAGCATTATTTTCCCCTCCTTCTATCTTTTGCCCCCTTGCAAATGAACAGTTCTGGAATACTGGGGCAGAGTTAAGTGAGAGCATTATATCTTTTCTTGATTAATATATTTGTAGTTGTAGTTGATTAAATCATACTGTTGTTTAAGATCAAATTGGAAGTATTGGGTAGTGGTTAGAACAATCACATCAAAGTTACATCATTTCTCACTTTAGTTACTGATTTACTGTTTGACCTTGAGCAATGTCCTAACCTTTCTGTGATTTGCTTTATCTGTAAAGTGAATATAAGATACAGCTGTTTTATGTGGGCTACCTTAGGTTTTTTATAAAACAGCCACTCATGGAAGGGTCTGGAACAGTCTTTTAGAGGTCAGCATAACACCAAAATAGTTTGTTAAACTTGAGGAATGTGTTCTGATCCGTTAATACGCACCACACATTTCATTACTTCCCCTTTAGATTCCAGTTTGGTGGTCATCTCCCTGTTTTGATTTTTAAGTACAAAAAAGGAGCCAAAGTAATTTCTGGTGTCAGGTAGAAAACGTGGTTTGTGTATGGACTTCTCACATGGTCTTGATGAGGAGCCAAAGCAATTTATTCTTGTGTATCACACAATAGCGTTTATACAGTAGTAAATGTAATCTCGAAGATGTCTCTTAAATATGTATCAGGAGCAGTCATAGGACAAGCATTACTTAAAGCTGCGTAGAAATTGGTGGAATAGTGTTTTATTTTTAATTTGTAAGATTTTGAGAATATTAGGTGTTAAACTGCAATGTAGGCAACTCAGATTATATCAGGGGAAAAAATACAATTAACCTTTTTGTAAGATGGCAGAAGAGAACAAAGTATGCGATTGTGATATAAAAATGAATTACTACATTTGCATATAAAAAGTATTCTAAACTGATATCCTAAGACGCAACTGTGAAGTCCCAGATATTTTGATGACATCAGCACCAAGTCTGCCCTGAATGTCGGAAATGTGGATAAACATTTTGGGTGGATAGTGGATGGGGTCTTCTAAGGTCCTTAGAGTGCCATCACCTTTTACAGAAACCAGGAACCCTGCTGTAACTTTGCCCTCAATATAGCAACAACTGTATTTTCAAACTATGTCTGTGTTGTGAGTGTTTTCTCTGAGCTTTCTGTAAGCTCCTATTTTTTCTTGAGGACTTAATAAATTCAAATTCGAAGTTATAAGAAGAGGGGCTTCTCTCTGAAACTGACTGCAGTGTAAGGACCATAAAATCAGTTTCATGGAAATAATTCCATCTGTGTTTGAAGGTATGAATTTTCATTGAAAAATAGCACTTTGTGCTAATGCTACTGTTAGAGAAACTAGGCATCTCAAATTGTCATCTTAGTCATGTTTTTTCTTTATCGATTTGTTTCCTTGGAGAGAGAGAAGTGATTGCATATATACCGTATGTCCTATAAAGATAAAATACTTCAGAATTTCTTCTGTTGCTTTCAAAACAAAGCTCCTGGTTCAAAGTTTGCTAAAATATGCAGTAATTTTGGCTTTAATAAGCTTTGGGTTAAGCCCTAAGGTTTCTGTAGTTCTGGTACTAAACATCACAAGTGAGTAATATTTCACTTGGCTTTTGAATGCAGAGCAGTACACCATGTAAATTTTAAGTGTTGTAGAAAAGCACTGCTGCAAATTAAGATTCTACTGACTGAAAGGGCGTTTAAATAAGCTGAGGAGTGATTTGTTGAGTTGTTTCCAAAGCCTAATTAAAATACATGTTTCCAGTTCATATTCTAAAAATAACACATTTCCATTGATTGTATTTCATCATATTTCTGTATTGACTGTCATCCATATTTTCCAAAATCTTAATGAAGAAAAAATTTCAAAATCTAATGCTTACATTGTTTTAACTGCAGCACTATTTCCAGTATTGAGTGTACTGGTGTAGACGGTCACCACAGATTTAAGACGTATACTTTTTCTTTAATTAGGAAATGAATATACAGCTTGAGAAGATGAAGCAAAGGCAAGAATGTGAAAGGAGGAAAAGGATAGCTGAAGAGAAGCACAAGGAATGGGTCCAAAAAAAAAGAGAAGAGGTAAATATTGCTTTGACTGCAAATATTCTAGCACATACCATGCTTAAGTAAACCTATGTAAAGTTTACTTAGACTGTTTGGAAAACCATGTTTTTAGTTTGCTGAATGAATGGCTGTTTTAATTGAAAATTATAAAACCATGCCAACACAGTTAAAACATTTTTCCAAGACTGATTTCTTTTTTTTTCCATAAAGTATCAAGAGATTTGTTTTCTGAGTAGTCGGGTAACTGATAATTGACCTACATCTTGTGCAGTAGCCTTCTGCTAATTATAGCTGGGGTTCTGATCTTCAGTATACCCTACTCTTTCTGACTTCCTAGGTTCAATGCCCAAGCATTTTGGGTGAAGGGTACATCTTAACTGTCTGCAATGTCTTGTACACCAAGTAGAGCCAGAAGAAGGATTTAGTTAAGTACCATTGTGGACAGGCAAATAGTATGGTAGAGTTTAGAGGGATAATTGAGGTGTGAGGCCAGATTCAGGAAATTCTCAGTAGACCACAGTTAGCAATTGGGAATTTCTTCATCCAAAAAGTCATTTCTGAGTGGGATCAAAAATTTTTTTAAGCTCTCTTGAGAGGGATGCCTAAGTCCAGAGTCAGAAGCAGACGGAATCCTGACCTCCACAGGGCACTGTACAGCTCAGTGTCACACAAAGCAAGCATGTGTACTGGGTGGCAAAAATGGGAACGTTTGGAAGGCTTGGGCTTGTTCAGCCCCTGGTAGTTTGTGGGCACATGTATTCATTGTCTTACGGTCTGTAGCAATACCAGTTGCTTACCGTTCTGTACTTCTGGTTCTGAATAAAATCAGATGAAAATTGAATACAATGGCACTAGCTGGGCTAGATATCCAGACCTCATACATTTCACCATTTCAGAACTCTTTTTTCAGATTCAATCTAGAACCACTAGAATAACGTGAGTTTGGATCTAACCTAATTACTCTTAGTCTCAATGCTAACTGGATGATTGGCATAAACCCACCCCCAAACCAGTCCTGCTCTAAGCGTTTATTATGATGTAGAAAGGGTCCTCCCTTATTAAAGTACACAGCAAAAAGTTGAAGATTTATTATTCAGCACAAACAATGCCATTTTCCTCTTCTAAAATGCAGATTAAATTATATGTGTCTGTAACCATTGGCTTGAAAGAATTTGGGCTGCCTGTTAAAATTGTTCACAGTTCAAAACAGTGAAAATTCTTGTTCTTCCTCCTCCTGCGTCTTCCTCCCCCCTCCCCCCCCTTCAACTTCTGTAAACTTCTACCTGTTTGGGTCTTCCAAAGACCTTTGTCTTTGTCGATTTACTGATTAACTACTTCTTTTCTATTGTCAATGGGAATAGGAGGTCTTTTTTTATGGTATTCACATCAGCCCAGAGGACAGGGGAAGAAACATATTTGTGTCTGGACTTTATCATATTATATTTTGAAAGGATAAGGTCATCTTTAGGCCATGTCCCAAGCTTTTACCAAAAGTAATCTGATTTTCATTTAAATCGGATGATTCATTGGCTAGTCTTTTCTGTAAACCACACTCAAATCAAGAACAAACTGAACTTAAAAGCTTAGCTGTCTTTAGGATATTAACATTTGTGCTGCATAGATCTTTACCACTTCAAGTTTCCACAAGATTATCTGTGGATCTGGACACAGACTGAAGGATAAATATGTCAATTCAGTGACTAAGAAGGTGTTTAGAATTGCATGAAGATTTCACACGAAGTTTAAGGTTGGATTCATGAGCACTGACAGTTGCTGTGATTTTCTTGGGGAGCATGTATACATCTCATATTAGGGAAAGCTCACTTCATTTCTTCCTAGAAGCATCAAAAGGTGCTCCTTGAGGCAAAACTCGCAGTATTCTTCACTGAAATATGCATTAAGCACTCACCTTTTTTGTATCCAGCTAGCGATTCTGAGCCCCTGTGTGTAGACTGCACAAAATGCTTTACTTGACAGGAGGCAGTACTTTTGGGGATGTTACCTCTGTGGTGTCCACAAGTCTGTATCCTTTCCCATTGCTGAATACTGTACTGACAAAGGAAGTAAGGGATGATTGAGCGAGCATGAAACTTTTTTTCTTCATCTTGAGCATCCAGCACCAGGAGACACTGCTGGAAAAATCTTCATACCGTGAACGTGAGACACATTTATATCAGAAGTAGAATGTTTGTATGTGCATAAAAGAATTCTGCTGTTTTTCTGTATGCCAAGCCAGTTTTCTTGTATTTTGTTGCATGGCAATGTCCATTGTGATGCTCTGACTGGTAAATATAGTCCTTTAGGGTCAGGTTAGGAAGAAAAGCTTGAGCACTATTTCTGTTCACTGGCAGTTTCATTTTTTATTGCTTAATATATATTTAAAACTATATGCTGTGAAGTTTTTTTTTATGCTTCCAATCATTTTGAGTTAAACTATTTTTGAAAATAAAGGAATCATAACCATTTATTATCCTTCTATGTAAATAGCTTTTGTGATTTTAAAGGTTGTAAATGAACTAGAAGTAGTATGTTGAAATATGAGATATCAAAGAACATTCTAAGCTGTCAAATATGTTTATGCAAATATGGCAAAATTTTGCAGCTCACTAGGAATTAAAAGCTTAATAAAATCAACTGTCAGGCGCTATCCTGGTTCTACTAATGCCTTTAGAATTTTTGGTAAGATACTGGATCTCTGCTGGACAAAAATAGTCTTACTTTCACTCTCTCCTAAGGTTGAGTCATTTGTGGACAAACAGTAAATTGTCTGTTTGACTTGTTTTGGTTTAGATGTAATAGAGCTCTGTTTTTAATAAATAGCAGAAGTATTAACCCAAATATTTTAACTGTAAAGTATCTCCAAACATGCTTTTGATTCCAGAAGAAAATTTACTTGAACCCAACATGACTTTGTATGTAACTAAAACTTTTATTTCTGATTTACTGTTAGATTTAGTGATAAAAATGAGGGGGGTGTGATTATAAATGCTGAGCAAGCAAAGTTGGTGTTCAGTGTCATGTTTTCGTTATTAAAGTAGCCTTGATTTGAATGGTATACAAAACTGGACATAGATCAGCAAAGCCATTAGAATCTGTCTTAATCCTTCTGGTATGTTAAAATGTTTGCTTGATTGCTAATTGTTGTATTTAGACTCCAGTTTGGTAAGGAGTTCTGGGAGGCAACGCGTAGCGGAACTGTGAAGTTTAAAAAGAAAGGAATTGATGTCTTCGATCCCAATCTTATCACAGAACTAAATTTTAAATAGGTATTGAAAACTAACTACTGTCTCATTTCTTCAGGTTAGAATTAATGCTTGTGAAAGCTTACTTTCTCCATGTTGTTCATTCTGGCACTTAATGTGTTTTTTTCCTTTTTTTCTTTTTATTTTAAAGTTACACTAACCACAAATGGGTAAATCTGTTAACATTATGTGGAGGAGTAAAGCTATTAAGAGGTGAAATTGACCATATAAGTATCGTTTATTTTGGATTGAAATGGTGTAGCTCTGTTGAAAGCTTATAATTCATTATGCCAAGTATAAATTTTATTAAATTTTAAGTACAAAGATGTATTTTGGTGAAGTAATGTAGAACCTGAGCTACTTCTAAGCTGGGATAAGGTAGGTATATATTTATGTAGTTGTATTGGCTCCTAAATCAATTCAAATTTTTATTGAGTCTATGAACTTTTTCTTACTTATGGTGCTGTTTTGAAAGTCAGCCACTGCTTTTGTTATATATACTCCCATATGTGTATGCATAAAGATCCCATAGAAAGCTCACTTGCCTACTTTTTCACATTAATAAGTAAGCTGTTTTTTTCACTGTTATTTTCTATTTTGTCAGTAAAATCTTGAAAAACTATTAATATCCTTCTAATAGTTCTTTATTGCTTCAGGGAAAAAGGTATTTTTCCTTTAGGGAAAAATTACCTGATTTCACTGACTCTCCCCATTCTTCCAAGTTCTTTGAAAATATGTGATTCTTCTGTTCAAATTCAAGAACTATACAAGAGGCAGTAGTCAGGACTAAACTCATACTTTTAAAACACTAGGATTTAGATTAAACCTTTGAAAAATTTCTAAAACGTTAGACTGTAAAATTTTCAGTACTGGACTGATTTTGAAAAGCCATTTATATGTAGCTCCTTCTGACATTGTCTACGATGATTTTGTACCTGAATGTTTTCTTAAAAGTTGGATCTATTTAGTGTAACTATGTAGTTTAATATGCTGATATGCTAAGTAAGCACAAAACCTGAACTGTCTATGGAACCATTCTGAACTAGTACACAGCACTCATGTACAGACAGAAAGAAGTATTTAAAGGGCCAAGAAAGGACCCATTCTTAGTAGAATTACATTTTTTTATTGAAAGTAAAACCAAGAGGTAAAGAATGGCTAGAATTTATCATTAAAAAAAAAGAGGCCTTCAAAGTCTTATTGTTTCATGTTTATATGCTGACTCCCTGTAGATGCTGAACAGACCAGTTAACTTCAGTCATTTTCTCCACCGAGTAAGTTTAAAAAAAACAAACAGCAACCAACAACACCCTCACCTCCTCCCCCCCCCCCCCCCCCCCCCACTGTGCCTTGGAATTATTTGGATTGGGGGAACTACGTGTGTGATATATTTTTAAAATCTCCTCTCCATAGTGGCATCTTTGTGACTTGTCTTTTATCAAATCAAATGTGTTCTTGCTTAACAAATAAAGGTTTTGTGACTGACTTAGCAGGCTGTAGGTGATACCAAGACTGCTTACAGACCTGGGTAAATAACAGTTTAAGAACGAAAATAAAAGTACTGCTTAAATATCTTAAAAATATTTGGGAATCCTATTTCTGGTTCCTTCCAAGGATTTTTCTCTCTTGTCTAAATCTGATGGATTAATATGTGATGACAAAACTCTGGCTGGGTATAAAACATGCAAAAAAAAAAAAAAAAAAGTGGTAGGTGAGGTCATAGATGTTCAGAGTTGATCACTCACTCATACTTTCTTTTTTAGTGTTTCCTTT